TGGTTTGTTTTCAATAACATTTCTTTCTCCCTCCTTCTCTTGCTTTCCTCCTTGCTTCTTTCATTTCATCCCTCAAAAAAATATTATTGAAGGTCTTTGCCTGTAGTAGTCATTGTTCAAGCCAAGGATATACACAAACAAGGACCCGACCCTGTAGTAGCTGACAATCTGGTGTAGTGTGTGTTAGGGGAGAAGGAAACATGGGAACATACATACAGACATACAGGAAAGAGTTGTTTAAAAACAGGCAAGAGAGTGCAGCCAGCTGTGCCCTGGTGAGATAGGGAAGGTTCTCCAGAGGAGATAAAGATTTGAACTAGTTGTTGAAGAATTAATAGAAGGGGAGAGGGACTTCCCTGGTGGCGCAGTGGTTAAGAATCTGCCTGCCAATGCAAGAGACACCGGTTCAAGCCCTGGTCCAGGAAGATCCCACATGTCATGGAGCAACTAAGCCCGAGAGCCACAACTATTGAGCCTGCGCTCTAGAGCCCACAAGCCACAACTACTGAAGCCCGCATGCTGCGACTACTGAAGCCTGCATGCCTAGAGCCCAAGCTCCACAATGAAGAGTAGCCCCTGCTTGCCGCAACTAGAGAAAGCCCGCGCGCAGCAATGAAGACCCAACGCAGCCAAGAAAAAGAAAAAGAAAAAGAAAAAAAAAAAGAAGGGGAGAACAGAGGGCATAAAAACACTTGTCATGTTGAGGGGCTGGTGAGTAGTTCAAAAATTATAAAATTTGGGGTCCATGAAAGTGGGTAGTGGGAAGTATGGCTAGAAAAATAGGATGGATTCTGATTGGGATGGGCTTTGCAAGTCTTATTTTGTCATGTAGACATCAAAGAGCCATTGAAGGTTTTATAACAAAGTAGAGTTTATTAGACTTGTATTTTAGAACCATAACTTTGGCATATAGGTCAGAGAGGAATGAGATTGGTAATAGTGAGACCAATTGCAAGTCTATTACAAATAGTTCACATAAGAAATATTGAACATAGGAATGGCTTGTTTTCTCCCTAAGTCGTCTATGTGTGAGAAACAAGGAAAAAAAGTAAAATCTGGGAAAGTAGAACTTTATTTGGCATGTAAGTTAGAAAAGAAAAAAAAAACAAACAAACAGCCATCAAAGAGCCACATAAGGGATCCTTGCAGTGAAGGAACTGTATCCTGCCTGACATGATGATACAGAAACTTACATGTGATAACATTGTAGAGAACTAAACACACAAACACACAAGAGGATTGAAGTAAAGGGGAAATCTGAATAAGATTGTGGATTGTTGTTATCATTGTGGTAAACTGGGTAAAGCTTATGTGGATCTCTGCGTTATTTTATACAATCGTGTGTGAATCTACAATCATTTTAATAAAAATTTCAACTCAAAATGATAGCAAAATTAAGATATTTTCAAACCAAATATATATATATATATATATATATATATATATATATAAATCTCCTTTTGGATGTAGAGGAAGAGATTTAAGGCAACTTTTCCACAATTCCTCACTGGAATTTTGATTGATTTTATGTTGCAGTCATATAATAATTTGGGAAAAAAATGGAAAAAAAGAAAACCAACCAGATTCAAAACTAAGATAAGGAATTTAAATGTGTAGTTTTTTAGATGATAATTATGATTGGTGCCGTATTTTACATATTGATTAATTGTGAGGGGAGAAAATAAACATTTATTGGGTACTTAAATGCAGTCACTGCTCTGGGGGCTTACATATATTTTTCTATTTCATGCTGCTAAAAAGGCAAATTTTATTAGAATTACTAATGCACTTTTCAGATGGGGAAGCCTAAGTGTCAGAATGTGTAAGTACTTTTGCAAGGTCACAGTGTTAGGACTAAGCTAAGCCTGTCTGACTTTCAAGCCTATGTACTTTCCTACCATGTAAGGACAGTTACAGACACAAGCATATTTAAGACAGCATCTCTGTCCCTGACTTCTCTGGTTGAGCTCTACAGTGTCTGTACCCAATACTGAGAAATGTGGAATATAGTACTTTTGTGGTTATCAGTGTGGATTATTTCAGCTCAGGAAAATATGTTTTCAAATTTGTGACAAGATAGCTTTGATAAAATATTTCGCAAAAAATAGAGTCAGATATAATTAGACTTCAGGGCAGTCCCTTCAACCTTTAAACAAAACAAAAACAAAAACAAAACCTCAGTAAGAGGGTTATAACGTTTAACTATTATGGAGTGTTTACTATCTGTCAGGTGCCAGGTTAAGCAACTTACGCGCTGTTTGACATCGCACAATGAAATAGGGATGAAACTTGGGCTATTAGACTTCAAGGCCACACTGCTAAACCACTGGGCTATAATGCTGTAAGCATCTACCAGATGAAATTAATGGGGAATGAAGAAAAAAGGAACTCTAACGAAAAGTTTAGCATGATCCACGATCAGTGACCAGAGCCACCATTTATTGTAAATTAATTACATGAGTTAACTACATTGTGTGATTTGGGGGCCTAAGGGGGTCTAAGCCATGAGAAAATCTCAATGCTATGCTCAGATCGGTCACCTTCTACCCCTTTATGTGATTTTATTTTCTCCACAGCTCTTTCACTTACTAATACCTAAGATTATTTCATTACTTGTCTATCACTTGCCCCACATCACCAGAACACAAGTTCAATAAAATTAAGAACCATGTCTTTCTTGTTCAATGCTGTATTTCCAGTGTGTCAAGTTGTTCCTGACATATAAATATTTGTTGAATTAATGCATAAATGATTGACCTTCCTGGGTCTTAAATGGTAGAGGTTTAGATTTACAAACTGTGGTTCAAAAGATCACATTAAAAGGCATGCCTTATTAGCAATTTATTCGTGTTTCATTCCTTAAATTGGCTAGGATAATTGAAAGAAAGGGAGGAGGAAGCCGGAGGAAGGAGCTGGAGTAAAGGAAAGAGAGAATATAAACTGGTAACGATAAAGCCTTTAAATATGGCAGTGGGGGTTGAAGAAATTAGGAGCCTCGGATCAGTGCCTGAAATTGGTGGGGCATCCTGGAGTGGGATGGAAACCATCATGAAGGCTAACTTCTCAATTTGGTCTCAGATGTTCAAACCACCAACGTGTATGGAAAGGAGGTGAAAGTTATTTACCTTTGATTAGACTGCGGTGCTCTTGAGGACTCCATTGAAATTAGTGCCAAGTGTACTGACATTTTGGGCACTGGTCTACCTAGTTTGTGTATTGTAGATTCTTCAAGAGGAGCCATTATTTATTTTTTATTTTTTGCAGTACGCGGGCCTCTCACTGTTGTGGCCTCTCCCGTTGCGGAGCACAGGCTCCGGACGCGCAGGTTCAGCAGCCATGGCTCACGGGCCCAGGCGCTCCGCGGCATGTGGGATCCTCCCGGACCGGGGCACGAACCCGTGTCCCCTGCATCGGCAGGCAGACTCTCAACCACTGCGCCACCAGGGAAGCCCAAGGAGTCATTATTGATGTGATTATAATCCTTATTAGCCTTACATCATTGTCAAGTAGGATGTATATGAAGACAGAAGGTTGCGACAAACAAAATAATCACATAAGAAAACCCAAAATGAATGGATAAACTCAGTCATCTGTAGCACAGAGTGGAAAAGGCAACTAATTTCAATGAGGTTGGGGAGTGCCGAGGAAAAAAAACATATCCTCTAAAATGGATTAGGGGTTGCTGCTAAACATGAGAATTACAATAGATGACTCTAAGCAGTTAGAAGTTTCAAGGAATACAAGAGAGAATAGTTCTCAAACTTTTTAATCTCAGGACCCCTTTACATTCTTAAAAATTGAGGACTCCAAGAACTTTTATGTGTATTATAGATACCTATATTATCATATTTGAAATTAAAATTAAGAAATTTTAAGAGTAGTTATTCGTTATTTCATTTTAAACATTCGTTATTTCATTTCATTTTAACAGAAAAGAATCTTTTATATGAAAAGTAACTACTTTTCAAAACAAAAAAAATTGAGTAGGTGGCATCGTTTCATGTTTTTGCAAATCTCTTTAACGTCTGGTTGAACAGTAGATGACTGGATTCTAATATTTGCTTCTGTTTTCAGTGTTTCCATATCACATGTCATGTAGCCTTTGTAAAACTCCACTCTACACTTATGAGAGAATGAGAGTGCCAAGGCAAATAACATTTTAGTATTATTATGGAAATACTTTTGACTTTCCCCTTTAAAGAGTCTGGGGACCCTCAGACCACACTTCGAGAACCACTGTTTTAAGAGTTAATAGTAGTCAATCCAGCTTCAACTGAAAAATAGCCATGAGGTTTCACAGGCCCTGAGGCTTTACATGGGATTTACTTTTTCAAAAAGATGAAACAACACTGTCCTCATTATAAAGCATCCAGACAATACACAAACATGCTATTTTCATCCATCGAAAGTCCTAAAGGATCGCAAGTCTGGTAGAAGGATGGAGAGGTAGCAATGAAGAGCATCCCCGGAAGCCACGGATACCCACTGAGTTAGGAGAAGCAAAACCAGCAGAAGACGCCGCCGAAGTGGTTAGAAGGAAAGAACTGTTGTTCTGAGGGGGAAAAATGGGCTGGGAGAGAAAATGGTTACCGGGGACCGGAGAGTTGCAGGAATTAGGCCGTGACAGCGTCGGGAACTAAGGAGCGCTCGCCGTTAGGATGCGGCAAGCCGGGACCCGGTGGCTGGCCCCCTGCCCTCACCCTTCCCAGTACCACGCAAGGGGGACGAGGTGAGCGGGGGGCGAGGCTGGCGGGTCTGGGCCCTGCCCGGGAACGTAAGGGGTTGTGAGTTCCTTTCCAGCGAAGCGGGTAGAAAAGAGATGGCTGGAGGCGTAGTAAGGGGCGGAGGCGGGAACCCGAGGAACCCAAGCTTGGCGCGGGAGGTTTGGAGGTCGCGGGGGGGAAGAAAGACGGTTCTGTTGCTAGGCAACCCGTCCTGGACCCGCCTCCCGCTCGCGTTGCTAGGAGACGGCGAGGCCAGGGGGAGGGCGGTGGCGGGGGCCCTACGTGCTGACGCTAATTGTATATGAGCGCGAGCGGCGGGCTCTCGGGTCTTTTTTAGCGCCATCTGCTCGCCGCGCCGCCTTCTGCTCCTCCCGCCGCCGCCCTGAGTCACTGCCTGCGCAGCTCCGGCCGCCTGGCTCCCCGTGCTAGCCACCGGTAACGGACGGGAACTCGAAGGGGAAGGGGGGACGTAGAGGCGGCCTGCGCGGAGGGAAGGGGTGAAGGGACGGGGAACCGCGAGCGGGGGCTGCCGGCCGCCCGGGCCTCCGGGGCCGTCCTGTGAGGCCAGAGCCCGAGCCGTTTGCGGAGTCTCGACCCCGCAGTCGGAGAGGGCCCGCGGGATCGGCCGGCGCTTCTCTGGGGAACCGATCAGGACACGCGCGGGGGTCGGTGCGGCCCGCGTGCTAGTCTGCACCGAGGTTTTGAGCTCCACCAGCTTCTCAGCGCGGACGGGAGCGAGGCCGCGGCGACGCCCGGGCGCCCGGAGGAGGCGGCGGCTGCGCCACTAGGGACCGGCAGGCGCCTGGGGTGCGGCCCGGGCCCAGGTCTGTAGCCCACCGCCGCCTCGACGCCCCCGCTCACTCAAAAATAATACTCGGAGGGAGGCCGCTGGGGGATGGAAAGAACCGCGGAGGCTGCGAATTCCGATGGGAGGGAGGGCTGTGAGGGGACGAGGCCCCTGGGCGGGGAGGGGGCGGGGAGGCAGCGAGGCTCCTGGGCTCCCCGCCCACTGTAGGCGGCGATGGGTCTGGGAGGGGAAACCCCCGGCGGCTTCCCTCCGCACGTGGCCGCCGGCGGGGCCTGATTGGAGACCCCTGTCTGGTTGTCCCTACTTTACTGGAAGTTGTGGAGATGGTGGGACGTGAAAATGAATAGTGAGCCAATAAGTCCAGCCCTTGGGTTTCCAACTCTTCCCTGCTTCTCTTTGGTCTTAGTCTTTTTATTGGTACCGGAGGAAAGTGTGAACGTTAGGTGCTGAATGATGAAGCAGGGCCTCCACTGCTAGGGTTTTAAAGAATTAACACGTGTAAAGCGCTTACGTTAGCTGTTATTAACAAGAGATTCTTTTGTGTATCTCAAGTACAAATTAGAATTGGGATGGGTATCTTGACCAGGGTTTTTTATTTGGGGAGAATTGATCCTAATCAGTCTAAGCCTGAACAGTTCTAAGGTGGAAGTAAAGGATTTGGCCTGCAATGTCTTTAATTTTTCTAGGACTTCTATTGCTTTCTTACAAATTAGTTCCTTTGTTCACGTTCCCAATCTAAGATAGTTAACCAGTTGTTTTGTTTTTAAGGTGAGTGGGGTTATGGTGGAGGAGGTATTACGGGGTGGAATGCGGCGTCAATGTAAACGTACTGAGCGAAGTGTGTAGTCTGCTGCCTTGTCAGTGCGCCCGCTTTGCCGTCAAAAAAAGAGGCAGGGCAGGGAGACGGGTAATGAGGTACTTTAGGGGAGCGCTGGGTTTTCCGAGTACAAGAACGGGGCACATGATGTCCTCAAGGAGCCCCAATTTTATTCTCTCACTGTCTGATTATACTGTAAGGACTGCGCTTTAAAAGCTCACAACTTCAAACTGCTTGCCTGATTTCAGGAGAGCTGAGCTGGAAAATGAAATTTGCCATTTTTGAAAATACGTAGCATCAAAATACCTTTGCAGAGTAGTATTTAGTTCCTATTTTCCTGTCGGCTTTAATTAATCCTACTTCTGTACGTACTTAGTAATACACTTTTGGCTAAGGGAAAAACCTTACATTTAGAAAAACTTATTTAAAGCTGACCGTTGGTAAATGAGGTTTACAGTGATCTTCTGGGGCTAAATCTCATGATTCTTTCTAAGTTTTCTGAGTTCAAATTAACGGCACAAATCTAAAATGTGCCATTTACTTTTTAAGAAGAATGGTCCTTTTATATCACTCTGAAAACTTTCATAAAATGTATATGTCGCAAAGTACCTATTTTTGATATAGGACCTATTGACAGGGAAAATTACTAAGCTAATACTAAATGTGACACCCTTGTACTCTAGAGATTAAAAAAAAAACACACCCAACACTTGTACCAGAACTAATTTAATCCAGGTGCTATTTTTTTTATTACTTACTCAACTTGCCCATATTGCCTCGAGATGACTGATTCTAAACTCCCCAAAATGTATTCATACAGCGTCCTTTTGCAGGAAAAGGGGCTAAAAAAGGTAGACTCTGATTGACTTAAAGGTATGAAGATGTCAACATACTGCTTTGCTTTTATTTTCTGCTTGATTGTAAATTTGAAATATTAATAAAAGGGGATGAACCCTGATCAATTTAGAAAACTAATGAACAATCTATTCATATCCTCAAGTCTAATCAAACCTGTAATTACTTGTGTTCTTAGTTGATTCTTTGAGTAAATATTTTAGCTCCTGTTTGGACATACACCTTATTTCATGAGCCAAACAGGCAAATTGGTTGTCTAGATATAAAGTGTTGAGTTGTGATGAGTGCCCTGAAGAAAAAGAAAGTGGGGGAAGTGGGAGATAGTGTAGTATCTATAACCTTCTTTACATGAAGGAATTTGTTAAAACGGCAACATTAAGACCCATTTCATACTAATTTCATCTGAGTAAGTTCTCTCCCTGTTGGGCAGAGTAGGGGTTAGAAGGTGAGCACGGTTGCTTTCACTCATCCTTGTAAGCAAGTTGCTTAGTACCCTGACTGCAGCCCACTAGATCACATTACTGGGCTTGCCATGGAAAGTGGCCTCTACACTTCTGGTTACCAACTCTGCCTTTTACTGCTACATAGTTTGATGTATTTTTACTTGCTCAGAAGTTTTGTACATTGTGATTTTTTTTGGGAAAGGAGGCTATAATTTTGAAGAGTTTATTAATTTGAATTATTTTCTCAGGTAAAGAGGGTACATAAGAAGAGCACAACAGGCAGAAAATATTCTTGCATGATTATTCAGGCAGTGTTTTACTCTGTGTATATTAACACATTTAATGCTCCTGGAGATAGCTGGTATCAACATTTTGATGAGGAAACTGAGGTACAGAGCAGTTAAAGAACTTATCCAAGGTTACATAACTGAACAATGATGATTTATAATAAGGATTTTATATTGGTTTAAAGGGAGTTCCCTTGACTTAAACTTACACTGTATACATCTGCTTGGAATTTAAAAGCACCCTGCTTGGGTTCCACTGGGCTTCAAGGGAAAGTTCAAGCACTTACAATCCTGAAGATTTCTTCCAACATATGTCTGATATGTGAATAAATTGTTTTAGTTTGTTAATGCTGAGTGAATTTTCAAGAAATATCAGTATGTTTCTCTGCTGTTGGGTCAGATGATCCCTTGATCCCTTGAACAGAAGATAGTGTTCTCAAATAGGAGTCCATTTGGCTTGGGAGTGTAATACAAAAGTCAGTTCTAGGTTGACTTTTGATATCCCTGAAGTGAAAAAAGCATAAAGAATGAGATGTGTTGTGCTGGAATCAAGTAAAGTACTGAGCCCCTGGACCACCGAAATTGTTAATAGAACAGCAATGTCCAAAATACAGATTTGTTTAAAATGCATTTGGGATGAGATAAGAGGTCTCAAGTAAAGGGAAATGTTTTCCTTGGGATGTTACTGGCTCCCTTGAACTCTTTTGCTTTAAAACATTTGTAGTTCTTTTCTTTTTTTTAATTCTTTAAAAATTTTTATTTTTTAATTCTTATTTTCTTACTTTTGTATTTTTGGCTGTGCCGCATGGCTTGTGGGATCTTAGTTCTCCAACCAGGGATCGAACCCACACCCTGGGCAGTAAAAGTGCAGAGTCGTAACCAACCACTGGACCGCCAGAGAATTCCTAAAACATTTGTAGTTTTTAATGATTGGCTGTTTCACCATGAAGTAATCATTTTCTGTAAAGGAATATAACTATAGGTTACTGTATAATCTGTAGCAGTAGGCTGATAGGGGAGGCCCCTTGGCTTTTGGAATAGTGGAATTGGCATGGGTATTCGAAGTCAGATTTTAATTCCTAGTTTTTTCACTTGTGTGTTGCTGAGCAAGTTGCTTACTAATCTGCAAATAAGAGGAAAGCATGTAATAATTTTCTACAGAGTAAGCTCCATGAATACCAGCTTTCTTTCCTTCTCATTGAAAGTAAGGAGAACAGAATCAGGTATACTGGAATGGTAGGTCATTTGATGTCTGGACATCTAGCTATTATAAGACCACAGAATAATCAAATGATGGTCTGATTGAATCACTTGTTTCCCCCTCTTTCTCCAATGGAAGATTTTCTTCATGTTCAAGTTCTTGGGTTAAGATTTGCCTTCAGTCATGTTATGAACTGTCTTTTCATTGAGATCTTCTGTAACATGTATTGTTTGGGTAGTGGGTTGAACCTTTTGTAGTAAGCTTTAATCTCTTTAAACTTTAAAACAGTGATACCACCTTTTGGTTAAGGATTGTATTCTACTTTGAAGCTTTTTGTATTCTTACGTTGTAGATGTGTTTCTTATAAGTGGGATGTAGTTGGATTTTGTTAAATCTAGTCTGACAGTTTTAAAAGGGAGCCTTTAGTTGATGTATGTAATCACTATGATTAGGTTTAAATCTGATTTGTGTGTGTGTGTACTTTTTATTTGTCCAAAACCTGTTTTTCTTTTAGGTTGATGTAAAAATAGGTATAATTTACTTGGTGTTCCTTGTACTTCAGAAGCTACATGTTCTCTTTATGAAATTTTGGAGTCACCTTAGAAATTATAACATGCTTACTTAACATTAGAATAATCCATTTCCTCCCCCCTTATTCTCACCACTGACATTGTTATGGTAGTTTAAATTTAACACTACACAGTGGTGATATTATGTCTTAAAATATTTGTTTAGGTATGTGCTGATATCCTTATTTCCTCTTATTTCTTCTTGTATCTTTAGAGCTCCTGTTTGGGATCACTTGCCTTCTGCCTGAAGAATATACTTAATAGCATTTATTAATGAGAGTGCTGGAGATATTTTTGCCTGATATTTCTGTTTCACCTGCGTTCTTTTTTTAATTGAAGGAAACTTTTTACTTTTATTCTTATTTTTAAATTTATTTATTTTTGGCTGCGTTGGGTCTTCGTTGCTGCGCGCAGGCTTTCTCTAGTTGCGGCGAGCGGGGGCTACTCTTCATTGT